TTATCTTGGTTTTTTTCCCTTGTGCTTTCAAACCAGTCTTGACCCTGGGCAAGTTTCTGCATTTTTTTAACGGCACTTTAAAATGTGGTTTGCCATTGTCTCTTTCTAGGGCTGAGAGAGTCATTGGCTAGTTGTTGTTGTTGTTGTTTTTTGCCTAAGGCACAACTAGTATACACAATCACTTGGGTTGTAGCCTGGTGCCTTCACACTACTCTAAATTGTCTCTGTCTTATCATATACTGCTTTTAACAGTTCTTGTTAAGTGTGTAGACTAATATTATGGATGCAATTTGGTAGAAGAACCTGATTAATAGTACTCCGTTATTGCTTGGAACAATTCACGGACATGAATAGATTGGAGGGGGTGGGAGAATCCTACGTTTATATTTCTCTTGAAGAATGGCATCTAGATAAATCTCTTTTAATGAAATAATAAAGCCGTCCTTACTTCATAAATAGTCTTTGAATGTGGACAAAGTAGAGACAATGAACCACATTGTAAAGTTGACTAAAATGCTTAATTTCCAATATTGCTTTCAGTATCAGTATGTTGTTAGATAGTTGTACAACATGCGGTTCCACCACAATACCACGGTAGACAAAAGCGCGCTTGACAAAAGCGCGTACGTGACGTCATCACAGCGCGACGAAAACATCGCGCTGTGANGGAGTGGGCGGCATACAAGATCAATAAAACTAAACTAAACTAAACCCAGATTTTCAGCCTCTTTTTGGGGGGGAAAAGGTGCATCTTCTACTCCGAAAAATATGGTAATCAGATAGGCAACTGAGTGTGTTTAAGAGTGAACTAATGCTCTTAGGCATTTGGGTCTTGCGGTTGTAGGTGATCTCTGCTGGTGAATGTAGTTATATTTTTTATGAGTTGGATTGTTTCTGGCTTCTGGCATTTGGTTGTTGTTATCTGCACTTCTGATGGTTATAGCCTTGTATTCCAACTCCTCTTGGGATCTGGATGGCTTAAATCCAGCCAGCTTAAATAAATATACGGCCATAAAAAATAAATCAAACGGAGGGAAGGTTATGGAGCCGCCGAGAAGTTGACTGGCAGGCCCCGATGGATAAATCAAGGCATTTAGGCCGACAGAAATGATAATGAAGTTCTGAAATAGGCACAGGTGTTGAAATTGGAGATATGCGGCGTGGGGTTTCTCAGCCTTGGCAACCTGGAGGTGTGCAGACTCCAATTGTGGAAGTCCACACGTTGCCAGCGCTGAAAGAATTTGGCAATAGCGATGGAGAGCCTGTACTATGAACTGGCACACTTTCGTGGTTCAGATTGATCCTTAACTGCATCTTTGCCAAGTGATCTCAGGTAGGTCATTGCTGGTAGTCCTCGGCTTACAAAGTTCCCTTAGGGGGCCACTCAAAGTTACAAAAGCTGCGAAAAAAAAGAGGAATGAAGCCGTGTCTCTATACACTGCCAATTTCTTTTCAATAGTACGGTTTTAGGATATTTAGGTGTTTATGTGTGACACTTTATGTCACACCTAAATTAGGCATGAGGGCAGGACCAAGAAGCAATGGGTGGAAACTAATCAAGGAGAGGAGCAACTAGAACTAAGGAGAAATTTCCTGACAGTGAGAATAATTGATCAGTGCCTGCAGGAGTTGTGAATGCTCCAAACTGGAAGTTTTTAAGAAGAGATTGGATAACCATTTCTCTGAAATGGTATAGGGTTTACTGCTTGAGCAGGGGGTTGGACTAGAAGGCCTCCAAGGTCCCTTCCAACTCTCTTTATTCTACTCTATTCTATTCTATTCTATTCCATCCCTTATTCTATTCTATTCTATTCTATCCCACATTCTATTCTATTCTATCCCATATTCTATTCTATCCCACATTCTATTCTATTCTATTCTATCACATCCCATATTCTATTCTATCCTATCCCATCCCATCCCAACCCATATTCTATTCTATTCTACTCTACTCTATTCTATCCCATCCCATATTCTATTCTATTCTACTCTACTCTACTCTACTCTACTCTATCCCATCCCATATTCTATTCTATTCTATCCCATCCCATCCCATATTCTATTCCATTCTATTCTATTCTATCCCATCCCATCCCATATTCTATTCCATTCTATTCTATTCTATCCCATCCCATCCCATATTCTATTCCATTCTATTCTATTCTATCCCATCCCATCCCATATTCTATT